ATGAAGTAATGCAACCTACAAGTATGCAAGACACAATATGGATGTTCAAGCATGCAAGCAAGCATGTGACTTCATTCAATCATGCAACAACACACTAGTATGCAATAACACACAAGGTGAGCATGCAACAACATGCAAAGGGGTGGACTTAGACTAATTTAGGCAGCCCCCAAACAAGCCTAAAACAGTGGCCAATGCTATGGAAATGAGGGCCTACACACACACACACATGTACATGTTGATGGGCCAACACTTAAACATCAAACAAGCAATCTTTAAGCACACTTAAGAGAGCTTAAACATGAACAATTAGCATGCAATGTAAACTCTGGAAATCATGTTAATAATGGTGCCAAACCAATTTAAACAAGACAAACATGGAATGCAATTAGTCCAAGTACTTGAGGCAAGTCAAGGAGACTTAAACCATGGCTAAGTCAACCTAGCCTCTCAAGGCCAAGAGGACTTAAAACAGGTTCAAGGCAGACCTAGACAATGCTAAGGGAACACCTAGATGGCATCTAAGTGGCTTGAACATGCAAGCATACAAAGGAGCACATTCATGGAGCATGAGGCAACAAACTTTTAAAACAACAAAGGAGTATCAAATGCAAGTATACTAGCATGTTATAAGGACTAAAATAACATGGTAAGTGGTTCCAAACCACCGAAATAGTGCAAGTAATGCATGCTACACACTCACACACCTAAGGCTAACAAGCCAAAATGCAAGGTGGCTATACTAAGCATGCTATGGTCGACCAAAACAACCAAGAACAGAACTTAAGCATGCTAAAACAAACACAAAAGCTTCACAAAGCTTGGCCAAAATCATGCTAGAACAAGGATCAAAACCCAAAGAATGTTAAGGCCAAAACATGGCATTACAAGGCATGTAGGCTAAACAGGTACCTAAACCAACTTAACACAATGCTATATCATGGCAATATAAGCACAAAAATCAATTAAGGCATGATCAACTTGAACCTAAACTAGATGCTCCCTCAAGAGGCAGAAATGGCCCTTTTTAGGGACAACAAGGAGAGGGGGTGGCCCTCTCCTTCTTAGGACCTCAAGGCACCATCCTCACCACTGAAATCCCTCAAGATTTCAGTGGTGAGGAGGCCCAAACACAATGGTCTCGGAGCTCACCAAAAATGCACAAAAATGGAGCCTAACAAGGCTTAAGAGGGGTCAAACAACCCCAAAGCTCAAAACAATCTTAAACAACTATTTAAAGGACTCAAAAACAAAACTTTTATATGTTATATGCAAAGCCTAAAAATAGTTGCAAGATAGGTAAAAAAGCTATGCAAAAATGGGATATTTAAAGGTGAAGTCCTTACCCTTGAAGACCTCTTTCAAGAATAGCACTCCAGCTGCTTCTTTGGCTCCAAACCAGTCTAAAAACTTCAAGAAAAGACCTCTGGCCTGTCAGTAACCAAGAAAATGTGTAAGACTAGGTGTTTCTGTGCAATAGTAAGACTAAAACACACACAAAAACACAAAGAGAGAGAGATATAGAGATAAGATATATGCAAACCCTAACCCTAGAACTCAAAGCTCTGAAAAAAAGTTGTCTAACCTAAAAGAGGGAGAAAAGACCTCCTCTTATAGGGGATTCAATCTTGTAAAGCTTCCAAGGCAAGCTAACAAGAGGGAGATCCCTCCATACACGTGTATGGAGAGGAGAAAAGTGTATGCCAGCTAGCATAAAATATCTGCAAAAGCAGATGAACAGTGGTCGGCCAGCCAAAAATGCAGTTTGGCCAAAATAGATGGCCTGTCGACCATATATAGTGCCGGCCGGCCAAAAATTTGGCCGGTGGAAACAAAACACAGCCGGTGGCCTCAAGCCATGGCCGGTGATGTGTGGGGATGGCTCACAAGCCATTCCCTGCCCCTCCAAGGCAAAACACAAGTGTTTGGTGTAAAACCAGACACAAAACAGTAGAGTCGAGAGATCCTGAGGTAAGGCGCGTAACCGAGGTCTCCGGGAACTCAAGGCAAACACAAACAAGGATGATCACCTGGTGTTCAAGCGGTGACGTCCAAGTCTTAAGGACGGTCAAAAATGAGGTGTCTACACATCTCTGTTCCGATTCAAACTCCGAACACACCTGCTGCAGAAGCTCCAAAGTTAAAACCCAAAACAACGACCAAACCACCAAGGCACCACTATACATCTGAAAGAAGTTCACCCCTCAAATACCCACTCAAAAAGGAGCGCTCGAATGAAATCTTAGATCTGGATCGAAAATTTGGATCTAGATTTGAACTCTTAGATCTAAGATCTGGACCGAAACATCACCAAAGATCCGAACCAAAGATTCATCCCTCAAACTCCCACTCGCACAGGAACGCCCGAATGAAACTCTTAGCCAGATTAGAACAACCGCTAATCCAGACCAAAACCGACCACCATCTACTCTGTTTTGACCCCTAAACCAAGCACCCCCTGGTGAAACAAAACAAAACAACCCCAATGAGAGCTGGACCAGCAGCACCGCAACACACCTAAGTGGGAAAATAATGTGGGAATCAAGTTATTATAAGGAAAGACCAAAGAGGGAGCTGGACCAGCCGACCGCCATAGCCAAAAGCGGCGGCCGGCTAGCCAAAAGTGAGGCCCGGGGGGGGAGGGTTTTAGAGAGAGAGAGAGGTTTTAAAAACTACTGCTTTATCATAGTTTAGTACACTTAAAGTTGCTAGGTCCATAAAATTCCCATTTTGTAAACGATTTCTATATCAATAATTCAAGATGTTGCTTTGAAATATAAAAATTATACAAGGGTTGTTAAGTTAAAAGAAAAATGTGTTTGTGCGTGTTTGTATCTGGAATAATTTTTGGTACAAAAAGAGTGAGGTGGCCATGCTTAAGTCATGAAGATGAGAAACTTCTAATAATGGAAATCAATTTTTGGATAGATCATAAGGAATATGAAATAGAAATTGGTACAACGCATGCTCTAAATTACACTACAATCGGAGTAGTATTGAATATATCACAATAGTACCATTTTATTTTATTTTTTGGATAATCAGGTGGCCATGTAAACTCGACTAATCCCAAGACCCACGCAAAGCACCCCTCCACGCAGGTTAGGTAAATCTCGGGCTATGCCCGCGAGCATGGCCCCAAAGGAATTGATAGCACTCAATGGAATTGAACCTATGCATCATGAGGCACCAAGGGCCTATAAGATTTCTGAATGAATTCATATACTCAATTGTGAATAATTACAAAGAATACAACTGATTAAATAGCTTCCCAATCCTAATACAAAAGAGGAAATAACCTATACACAATTCCTAGAATATCTCAGAATATATACACAATATATATTACCATATATACATAGACACATTAATACTTTCACACCCCCGCTCAAACTCAGTGTGATAGCAGAAAACACTGAGAGTTTGTCAAGAAGAAACCGAAATAGTGATGTGAGTCTTGGTAAAGAAGTCAACAAGTTGCAAAGTTGAAGAGACAAAGGGAAGCGAGCTAGAGCCAAACTGTAGATGTTGACGAACGAAATGACAATCAATCTCAATATGCTTTGTCCGTTCATGAAAGACAGTGTTATGAGCAATATAAATAGCACTTTGGTTATCACAATATAGAGAGGTCGGAGAGGACTAAGGAATGCCCAAATCAGACAAAAGACAACGAAGCCAAACAATCTCAGTAGTAGCATGAGTCATAACACGACACTCAGTTTCGGCAGTAGTGTGAGCAACAATAATTTGTTTCTTGCTTTTCCAAGAGATCAAGGAATCGCCAAGAAGCATACAAAGACCAGAAATGGACTTGCGATCATTAATATCACCAACCCAATCAGAATCAATACCAAGTCCAAAGAGAAAGTAGAAGACAACAATAAACCCTGAAACGTAATACCCCAAAAATAGCAAAGAATCCGAACCAAAGCAGCTCAAAATGTAGAATGAGGAGCAAAAACGAACATGCTAACCACATGAACAGCATAGGCAAGATCAAGGCAAGTAACCATCAAGTAGACTAAGCAACTCACAAGCTCTCGATATAAAGTAGGATCATCCAGAGGGATGCCACTAGTAATGTTAAGCTTCACATTACACTCAATTGGGGTATCAGAAATCTTAATGTCAGTAAGACTGGCACGGTGAATAACCTCATTTGCATACTTGGCCTGATACAAAAAATAGCCTTTTGGAGAAGAGGCAACCTCAATACCAAGAAAATACCGTAATGGACCTAGATCCTTCATTTCGAAAGTGTGGAAAAGATGTTGTTTGATCGAAGAGATAGCAGAAGAGTCAGAGCCAGAGCCAGTGATGATCATATCATCTACATACAGTCATAAGGCAACAAAACCAGCAGAGGTGTGGAGGAGAAACAAGGCAGAGTCTTGGGCACAATGATTAAACCCAAGCTGAGTAACAGTTGTCTGAAAGCGATCATACTAAGTACGAGGAGATTGCTTCAAACCATACAGAGCACGTCAAAGACAACAAACCTGTCTAGATGAATAGTGAAGGTCAGGGGGAGGATGCATGTAAACCTTCTCAGTGAGATGGCCATTAAGAAAAGTATTCTTAAGATCCATAGATAAGTCAATGAAAGTATACAACATCATCAAACCCTTCTTCCTCAACCCCCCAATTGAATCCAAATCCCTCATCATTCTAGCAAAGCCTGCCCATACATCACCAAAGTCAGGTTTCATAATGCAGATCAATTCCTTTCTTCTCATATTGCCTAGAAAACCCCTTCCCCTTTGAGACTTCAAAGCTTCAAGCATCATCTTGGCCAACCAGGGAAAATTTCAACAGTGTGAGAGATCTTTGTAGACCTATTACCTTGTTTTGTCACCCTAACTCAACTCCAATCATTTTCCTCGTTGATAGCGTCAAAAAACTTTTTCTTGCATTTAATTTTTTTCTCTTTTCCCCATATTTGTCTTTTGTTATCCGTTATTGTACTATCATGAACTTTTATTTATTAATATGATTTTTTTTTTTTGGGTGGGGTGGTTGTCTCTGCAACTTGTAAGGGACCTTGCTTGGTGCATTGGTGAATCGTCTGGCTACTGGTTGTGAAAGACATGGAATTGAGTCTAAGAGCAGCCACTTTGTGTTTGTGCATATTATGCCAAAGGTTAGGTGTGTATCCAGTCTACTCCCCTCAATTATTGGGGACTGGCTTTGTCTGATGGCCTTTTTGGATTTTCTACCATATTTACCTTCTACAAGGTCATATTGACTTCTTTATTATTCTGCCATGGGCATGTCTATCCAATATATATATATATACTATACACTTTCTGCCACAGGATATGCTTACTAATTTTGAAAGATGGGATGTTTGAATGTGTCTGCTACTAGATTCCTTCTCAATTGATTAAGAAACTGATCTTTCTTGGTTTCTTAAATCTTTTTCCATAGAAGAATCAATAGTTTCTTAGATCTTGATGTTAAGTACAAAGTTTGACTTGGTTGCAGCATTAATTCTAGAGTACTTGATTATTTTTTATTGATGTGCATATGTTGTTCTCTTTGTTATTTGCTTTTCATACATGTTATACGGTGTTCATTGCAGCCAGTCATTTTCGGGACACATCTGTTGTTGTGGTTACACTGGATTCTAGTGAAGTATATATTGTTGTCAGCTTGTCTTCTAGGAGTGACACTCAGGTGATTTATGTTGACCCAACAACTGGAGCACTTTGCTATAATGAGAAACTGGGTTATGATGTTTTCAGCTCTCAAAATGAAGCTTTAGATTACGTTACAAATGGATCAAAGAGTCTTTGCAGGAGTATAATTTATGCCAGGGCAATATTGGGTTATGCAGCCCTGGGGAGTTTTGGGTTGCTTCTTGTTGCAACGAGGTTGACGTCCAGCATTCCAAATTTGCCTGGTGGAGGGTGTGTATATACAGTGACTGAGAGCCAATGGGTCAAAATTTCACTTCAAAATCCTCAACCCCAGGGCAAAGGAGAAACAAAGAATGCTCAAGAATTGACAGAACTTGATATTGATGGAAAGCACTACTTTTGCGAAACAAGAGATATTACTCGGCCTTTTCCAAGCCGTATGCCTTTGCAACATCCTGATGATGAATTTGTTTGGAATGGATGGTTTTCAACGCCTTTCAAAAACATTGGTTTGCCGCAGCATTGTGTCATTCTTCTGCAGGTTTTGGTTTATACATGGTATTTTCAGTGTTTTCTAATTATAAAAAATAAAAATAAAAAAAAATAAAAAAATAAAAAAATTCAGTGTTTTCTAGCTGACTGTTTGATGCTCTTCACCAATGTCATTCTAAATATTGGGCGAGTGCCTTTACCTTCTGTACAAATGATTGCAGTATTGTAATCTCTGCATGATATTGATTATTAATCCTTCAAAGCTAATTTTTGGATTATTAATTTGCTTGTGCATACTACTTTAGCATATGTGACCTTCATGTTACAATGGAGTACCAAGAAATTTTGATATTAAGAGGGCAGGCTGTGCGCGACATGTTAATGTAATGAGATGGCTTCCAAATTTGACACAGAATTATGCAAGACAAATAATGGCTTTATGACTACTGATTTGTTGATATGTAATGAATTGCCCAAGAAAATTTTGGCAAAAAGTGCTATATCTTCCTCACCTATCTCCATACCATCTCCCAAGATCACACTTTCCTCCCTCCCCACCTTAAAAACTATTCCTTTCCTTGAAATTTCACTAGGCTTTCTAAGAAGAAACATATTGATCTCATAGGTTTGGAGAGAATCTATGAGATTCTTGCTGTATTCTATGACTGTGACCTTGGCCTTAAAACACCCAGAAGAGGCCTAGGACTGTCCTCACATTTTTTCCCCTCAATAATTGTTTCTCCTACACTGAAAGTGGCAGGCACTATGTCACTAAGTCTAGCATAGGATTGGTCAAAGGTTTCATATTCTACCATCCTACACTCCTCAAACCTCATGGTCAAGGCTTGAAATTTAGACTCCTTCGCAGTTTGGGTACCCTCGTGGGTAAACATCAAAATGTCCCAAGCATCTTGGGCTATCTCACAATTAGAGATGCACCTGAACTCACTAGGGGTTACAACTCTGAAAATTGCAGAAAATGCCTTATACCCCATATTATCAATGCCAGTTTGATCTCATTGCATATTGGTCTTTACCTTTTTCTCTTTTGTTTCCAGTTCAATCACATAAAGGGTCTCAATTCTGTATTGAATGAATGGACCAAACATGCTCAACAAGAGATTTCAGGAAGTGCTTCTTCTTAGCCTTCCAAAACATTGACTAATGGTGGTGTAGACATGATACCACCTTCTCTCTTAGAATCCATCTCCATGGACTCAAAACAAAAGATCTATCAAACCAGTTAAGCTTCTAATTAACTGCTCAGATGCCAATTGAAATTCTAAACATCGAAGTTTTTGTGCCTAGAGAGCAGGGTGAATTGGTGAAATCTTTCAAATCAATTCCGATTTTAAAATTAAATTAGTGATTAAGAGAACTCCAGGAAATTCGATTATCAATCAATGAATCAATCCATCAATTAAGCAAGTTTACATACAATTAAGTACACCACAAGTTTCATCAAGCTTTATCTCAGCTCTGAAGTGGCATTGACTCCATCACACATTGTAGATTCAATATCCTCTAGGTAGCTTCTTGCATTGATCTTTGTCTTCAATGGCTTTGTTGCTCAATATACATGGTATCTATGAAGCACCTACACTTCAAAACAAGTGCCGTATCCATGTTGTACACACGGACACTTCGGGGACACGCGGACACTTTGGGGACACGTATGGGACACACCACATGGCGTGTTCCCTCATTTAATTAATTTATTTTCTGGGGACTTACCGGGGACACTTCGGGGACACACTAGGGACATGCCAAGTTGTCTTTTCGCTCATTTTATTTAGTGTTTTTAATGAATGTTGAATGTTTATTATTATTTTTTTTCCTTAAATTTAAATACTTAATAGATTATCCATAAAAATATATAAACTGTAAGTTTTGATTTAAAAGTGTTTTTTAAATTTATTTATTTATAGAATTAGGGTTAGTTTTTGTTAATATTGATTGTTTGTGGATGAAATATTAATCTAGATAGCAAATACAAATATATGAAAACATATTTTATGGCTATGTGCCTGCCATGTCCGTGTCTGTGTCCGTGTCCCAATTTTTTTGAAATCACCATGTCCTGTGTCCGTATCCGTGTCCGTGTCCGCATCCGCATCCGCATCCGCATCCGTATCTATGCCTCTTAGCATGGTATTCATGAGACAGAGAGTGAATTGTGAAGGTTCTGATGAGTTGTATATCAATCTAGATGAGACTAATGAGATCAATTCATAATTTGATGCTCTAGATTTAAGACCAAATGAGATTCATCAATAGAGTCTTGATGAACATGTCATGAAGCAACTATAGACATAGAAAGTGGGTCTAATTGCTTCAATAAACATCACTAACATACTTAAAATGCTAAAATGGTGACTTTTAAACGAACAGGGTTACAGGAGCACAAAGGTCATAAAAAAGTTGAACATAAGCCGACAATGCGAGTGCACGTCTCGGTAGTTTTAGTGTTCAAGTGCTTGTAGGGCATTGAGCAAGCATCCTTACCCAAAAGGTAGAGCGCTTGAGCACCTAAAGGCCACTAAGCAAATGGACCTCTTGAGTTCTTGTAGAGCGCTGGTCAAGTGGGCTCAAAAGAACAACGTCAAGAGGAGAAATCAGAGCAGATAAAATCGAAGTCCTAAGATGGGCTGGTGCCTATGTGCAAGTGAGATATAAGGCAGTGATGTGCAGTGGTTCAGATGGGTCTTTTACCTGCCAGCAATGAAACCAAAGACTGCGTCAATTGCTGAAGAAGATCTTGTGAAGTGGTGAATTCAATCTCACTAACCTAAAGCCTTAAAAGTACAGACTCCAGAGGTTTCGTTCATCATCGGAAATTGCCAACCTAGCTAAAGCTATTTTCACATAATCTTTCCAATAACAATAAAATTGCAAAATCGGAGGCCTAAATAATGGAATCTGCTTCAAATTCGCTTTAGGTCACAACAAAGATGCAAGTATTGATCATTGGACTGTTTCGGATCGAACATGGATCTTTTGAAGCATTTATGACAATGTCGGGCTGACCGCAACTTACTATTTTGCAATTTGATGGTCAAATTGCTCCAAGTATTGGGTCGCCACCAGGTCTGTGTCAAAATGTTTGCATCTCAACATGCAAGATAGAGTTGCACGTGAGGGAGGGTGTTAGAACAATTTAAGCTTTTGGAACAATTGGTGATCTGACACCATTATCCTTGCTTTTACTGCTTAATTTGCCTTATTGCATCTATTGTTTTTAAATTCACAATCAAATGATTCACTGTGCCTAAAACCATGGAGTCAAAATGGTATATGAAATACTGTGGTTATGTTAAAAATAAATCGGCATGTTTTAATGTTCGCTTAATTGATATCTATGTATAGGGTTTTGCAGAATGTCGAACTTTTGGAAGTTTAGGTCAGCAAGAAGGAATAGTTGCTCTCACTGCTCGAAGAAGCAGGCTGCATCCTGGTACTCGATACTTGGCAAGGGGCTTAAATTCATGTTTCAGTACAGGTAACATAGCTATTTAACCTCCTTAAAGCTCAAATTGTTTTAGGGTGGTCCGATAGCCAACGCAGCCTAGGTTTTTGGCATGGCCAATTTTTGTGAAAAGAAAAAACTACCCTCAAATAGATTATTCTCATCTTATTCAAAGGGTACATTTTCCCTCCCACCCAAATTTGCCCCGGCAAAAGCCATGGGTGCCTTGACAACATGGCCGCCCCATCTTTTGAACTATCATATGCTAGTTTGAAGGAATAATTGCACATATGGGTTGTCTTCCAGCATGCTTGCTCTTTTTAAATGGCCCTTTTTTAAGTTTATATTGTCTTTGTTTACTGTTCATTGTTATGTACATATGCTTCAGATGAAAATTAATAGCTCACGTCATGCATGTCTGTGTTGTGGTATCGTTACAATCAATGCCATTGTATTCACCCCCCAAAAAAAATCAATGCCATTGTAAGGATGTGAGAGCCGAAGTTGATCTAGGCCGAAAGTTATCAATGCATTGAGTGGATGCCATGAATACATTTCAGAACTTGGACGATCATTCATTCACACAAAACATAACATTACAGAAAACTAATCATTTCATATCATCATAAACTAATTAAAGTTAAACATAACTTTACAGAGTTATTACTCACAAATAACAAATAGCTCCAAATAATCGAGTAGAGTGGGCAATTCAAATCTCTTGAGGTGCATACCCTACAAGGGTACAGACGAATACATACAAAGTTACACACCCGAAAACATTAACTTAATTCTTCTTGGTCTTGGTGTGTTTCTACTTGTTTATTCTCATTATGGTGTCTTAAACATGGCCTAGGAATGCCTAGGATGAAATAAGGATACAAAAATGTACTTGAAAACATTTTTCTAAACTTGCTCAAAATAGGGTCCATGCTCGAGCGTGGCTTTCCTTGCTCGAGCGGACATGCAAAATGTGAGGGTTCGCTTAAGCATAACTTCCTTCGCTCGAGTGGTTTGTAAATTTTGAAAAAGTACTAGTTGCTTGTTTTTCACGCTCGACGGACGCTCGATCCTCGCTCGAGCATGAGACTCAGGCCCTCGCTCGAGCATGACTTTTGTTGCTCGAGCGTGCTGCAAAACACAAGAACTTCTGAGGGCTTGCATTTCACACTTGAGCGGAAGTGCACGCACTCAGAGTGGTCGCTTGAGCGTGAATTCCTACGCTCGAGCGTAGATGCAAATTCTGGAATTTCCAGATTTGTTCTCCAAGTTCAAAACTTAATCTTTAAGCACCAAAACTTGATTTTTCTGAACCAAAACTTGAGAAAATACATGGAAACTCTTAAAACAACATGAATTAAAGATCATTACAAGGAATAATGGCCCAAAAAGGTGTCAAACATGCAACAATTCAACTTGGAATGTAAAAACATGGCATGAACATGACATACATGTGTTCACTTGAGTTTATAGCTTCTAACACATGATCAAATGTGATCCTTTGATGAGAAGTGTTATGAATTCTTCAACTTATGCTCGAATTACAACATGCATGGAGAAAATCTTTGAAAACAACCTCAAAATGCTATAAATATGCATGCATGTATGGAATGACTTATCTTTCTTCAATTCTAGCTCAGTCCTTACATGAATGCATCTAATTCACTTGAATTCTTGTAAAATCTAACTCAATTACACAATTAAGAGTTTGATTCGTTTTGCGTCTCACTCTTGAGACCTGCCCTTGCCTTTTTGTTATGTAATTATATTTTGTCTTGCCGACAAGGACTTTATGTATATCTGTAATTAGTCTGCCATAGGTTGACTCGTTCTGGATGATCCTGTCTGTAATGGATTTTTTGAAATTGTACTTTTGACGTGGGTTATTAACGTGACTGAATATGGTCTGTTGATATGTATATAAGCACGGCTCTATGGACAAAGTTTTTAAATTTTGCTTCCCTTTTGGCCCCCTTTACTCTGATGTCTTAAGTCTGTTTTGGTTGAGGCCGTAGGTAATCTTAGGATTACTGGCCGGTTACGTCCTTAACCCATGGGGGCGGGTTCGGGTCGTGACAGGGTGGTATTAGAGCACGAGTTAATAACTCACACACTTGTCCAAAAGAGCAATAAGCGTCTAGATGAGATCTAGGATGCATTCATAAACGCGAATTTAGAAGAATTAATTATATGCTTAAATGTTTGATATGAACAATTATGTGTGTAATTACTACAAGAAAATACACATTTGGCGACCCAGAAATTGGTCGCCAAAAGTACAAATTTCGTCGCCAAAAGAATCTGCGACAAATATATAATTTGTCGCCAAAGGCCTATCACTAAAAGTATGGGCGACGAAATCAGAAATTGTCGCTGTATGTAGACATTTAGCAACAAGAAAATTTGTCGCCAAAAATCATATATTTTGTCACTATAAAATTACAATTTGTTGCTAAAAGGTTGAAATTTGGATAGGCCCTGTAGTTTTAGCGACAAATAAATGCGTCGCCAAAAGTACTATTTAACGACAAAATTAATTTGGTCGCTAAAAATCACGTTTTTAGCGACGAATAAGTTTTGGTTGCGAAAAGTTCTTGGAATAACCACTAACTTTTAGCAACAAAAACAATATGTTGTCGCCAAATATATTAACAGCGACCAAAATACCACCTATCACTAAAAATTCAATACATAAATTTTGATTTTAATAATTTTCCTGTTCAAAATAATCCAAAACACCTGTTTTCCTGTGCACAATATATACACAAATGTAATGTGAATAATAATACACCTGTGCAAGACATTCATACTAATTCAAAATTAATAGCTATGAAAAATCCCAATAAACATATTTACAATTCTCTGACAATCTAAAACATGCATGCCAAAGTACTTACAAACTACTAACATCAAACCCATAAATACATTACCAAATGCTATGTCAAAATATTTTCAAAATTACAACCAAATATTTTGATGTTAAACATCTAACCAACAAGTCAATTACTAAAATCCTATGTCAAAATATTTGCAAAAATACAACACCAAATATTTTGATGCTAAACATTTAATCCATAAATCATTTACCAAAATCCTATGTCAAAATATTTCCAAAAACACAAAATCAAATCTTCTGATGCAGCCCAAACTATTTTCCCCCATTGCCAATCTGTCACATGAAAAAACAAAACAATATTAGATTGACAAAAAAAAAAAAAACAAAACAAAACAAAACAAAACAAGCTGTGTGCCAAGTTTCAGTGGTTTCAGTGGTCATTTCGCAATTTCGGCCCTCGAACGGGCCTTTTAAGTCTTGTATTTTACAATTTTCCTTCTAATTTTCTAACGGAAGATCCAATCGAGGTCCCGTTTGTTCCTACAAGTCTATTTAGGCCTTAACCAGCTGTCCGTGCCAAGTTTCAGTGGTTTCAGTGGTCATTTTGCAATTTCGGCCCCCGAACGGGCCTTTTAAGTCCTGTATTTTACAATTTTCCTTCTAATTTTCTAACGGAAGATCCAATCGAGGTCCCGTTTGTTCCTACAAGTCTATTTAGGCTTGAACAAGCTGTCCGTGCTAAGTTTCGATGGCTTCGGTGGTCATTTCACAGTTTCGACCCCCGAACGGGCCTTTTAAGTCTTGTATTTTACAATTTTCCTTCTAATTTTCTAACCGAAGATCCAATTGAGGTGCCGTTTGTTCCTACAAGTCTATCTAGGCCTTAACCAGCTGTCCGTGCTAAGTTTCGATGGTTTCGGTGGTCATTTCACAATTTCGGCCCCCGTACGGGCCTTTTAAGTCTTGTATTTTACAAGTTTCCTTCTAATTTTCTAACCGGAGATCCAATTGAGGTCCCGTTTGTTCCTTCAAGTCTATTTAGGCTTGAAAAAGCTGTTTGTGCCAAGTTTTAGTGGTTTCGGTGGTCCGTGCCAAGTTTCGGTGGTTTCAGTGGTCATTTTGCAATTTTGGCCACCGAACGGGCCTTTTAAGTCTTCTGTTTTACATTTTTTCTTCTAATTTTCTAATCGGAAATCCAATCGAGGTCCTGTTTGTTCCTACAAGTCTATTTAGGTTTGAACAAGTTGTCCGTGCCAAGTTTTGGTGGTTTCGGTTGTCATTTCGCAATTTCGGCTCCTGAACGAGCCTTTTAAGTTTTGTGTATTACAATTTTCCTTCTAATTTTCTAACCGGAGATCCAATTGAGGTCCCGTTTGTTCCATCAAGTCTATTTAGGCTTGAACAATCCATGCATGCCTAAGTTTTGGTGGTTCCGGTGGTCATTTCGCAATTTCGGCCCCCGAACGGGCCTTTTAAGTCTTTTTTAAGTCTTGTGTTTTATATTTTTCCTTCTAATTTTTTAACCGGAAATCCAATCGATGTCCCGTTTGTTCCTACAAGTCTATTTAGGCCTGAACAAGCTGTCTGTGCCAAGTTTCGGTGGTTTCGGTGGTCATTTCGCAATTTCAGCCCCCGAACGGGCCTTTTAAGTCATGTGTTTTACAATTTTCCTTCTAATTTTTTAACCGGAGATCCAATTGAGGTCCCGTTTGTTCCTACAAGTCTACTTAGGCTTGAACAAGCTGTCCGTGCCAAGTTTCGGTGGTTTCGGTAGTCATTTCAAAATTTCAGCCCCCGAACGGGCCTTTTAAGTCTTGTGTTTTACATTTTTCCTTCTAATTTTTTAACCGGAAATCCAATCGACGTCCCGTTTGTTCCTACAAGTCTATTTAGGCTTGAAAAATCCATGCATGCCAAGTTTTGGTGGTTCCGGTGGTCATTTCGCAATTTTGGCCCCCCGAACGGGCCTTTTAAGTCTTGTGTTTTACAATTTTCCTTCTAATTTTCTAACCGGAGATCCAATCGAGGTCACGTTTGTTCCTACAAGTCTATTTAGGCTTGAACAAGCTGTCCGTGCCAAGTTTCGGTGGTTTCAGTGGTCATTTCGCAATTTCGACCCCCGAACGGGCCTTTTAATTCTTGTATTTTACAATTTTCCTTCTAATTTTCTAACCGGAGATCCAATCGAGATCCCGTTTATTCCTACAAGTCTAT